ACTCTCCGTTCTTCATGCACAACTCCGATCACCCTGGTTTGATTCTGATCTCTATAAAACTTGATGGATCTAACTTTGATGATTGGGAAGCTGCGATGAAGATAGCTTTAGATGCGAAAAATAAAATCGGTTTTGTTGATGGATCTCTTCCTCGTCCACTTGAATCCGATCAAAACTTTCGCGTTTGGTCTCGTTGTAACAGCCTGGTTAAGTCATGGATTCTTAACTCGGTCTCAACTCAGATCTACCGTAGCATTTTACGTTTGAATGATGCTACTGATGTTTGGCGTGATTTACACAGTAGATTCCACATGACCAACTTGCCTCGGACTTACAACCTCACGCAGGAGATACAGGATCTGCGTCAAGGCTCTCTATCCCTTTCCGATTATTTCACAAAACTGAAGACATTGTGGAGCAGTTTGGAAAGTTGTGAAGAAGCTGATGATCCTTGTACATGTGGGAAAGCAGCTCGGCTTCATCAGAAGGCTGAGCGTGCTAAGATTGTGAAGTTCCTTGCAGGTCTTAATGAATCATATGCTGTAATTCGTCGTCAGATCATCATGAAGAAGACTCTTCCCTCTCTCACTGACGTCTACAATATACTTGATCAAGATGACAGTCAGAAGAGTTTTGTGACTGCAGTTTCACCTGCTGCTTTTCAGGTGTCTGAGGAGTCAACTTTGGCTTCAAGTGTGTGCTATGTTCAAACTGGTGCTCATAAAGGCAAGCCTATTTGTTCGTTCTGCAATAAAATTGGTCACATTGCAGAGCGATGCTACAAGAAACATGGTTTTCCTCCGGGGTATGGTACTAAGGGTAAGACACCTGAGAAGTTTCAGAAGCAAGCTTCTGTTGTTCCTGCTGTGTCTAACTCGACTAAACCTGACGTGAAGCCTACGTCTCTTGATAACTTGATTGGTAATCTATCTAAAGACCAGATTCAACAGTTTATTGCCCTGTTCAGCTCTCAACTTCAACATACCAATGTCACTCCTACTGGCGAAGCATCTACCTCTCAGAACACAAATGAAGTTTCTGGTATCACTTTCTCTCAATCTACGTTTTGCTTCATCGGAGTTCTTACTGTTTCACAGAATATGCTGAACAATGATACATGGGTTCTGGATTCTGGAGCCACTCATCATGTCTCACATAATAAGGATCTCTTTGTATCATTGGACATGAATGTTACTAGTTCTGTGAATCTACCTAATGGCTCTATGATCCGGATCAGTGGTGTTGGTCACATTAAAATAAATGAACACATCCTTCTTCGGAATGTTCTATTTATTCCAGAGTTTCGTTTGAATCTCATCAGTATAAGCTCGTTAACGACTGATCTTGGCTCAAGAGTTATTTTTGATCCTTCTACTTGTGCAATACAGGATCATACCAAGGACTTGATGATTGGTCAGGGTAGACGGCTTGGAAATCTGTATGTGCTGGATATCAACGAAGCTTCTGTGAGAGTGAATGCAGTGGTGGACATTGGTACATGGCACAACAGAATGGGTCATGCTTCTTACTCAAGGCTTGACTTAATAGCTGATCATTTGGGAACTACGAAGTTGAAGAATAAAGGAAACTCCTACTGTCATGTTTGTCATTTGGCAAAGCAGAAGAAGCTTTCATTTCCTTCTCCAAACAACATATGTAATTCAAACTTTGAGCTTTTGCATATTGATGTTTGGGGTCCTTTTTCAGTTGAGACAGTGGATGGATACAAGTACTTTTTGACTATAGTGGATGATCATTCTCGAGCCACTTGGGTTTATTTAATGAGAACAAAGGATGAGGTTATTAAGGTGTTTCCAAAGTTTGTTGCTCACGTTGAAAATCAGTACAACACAAGAATTAAAGCGGTACGTTCTGACAATGCACCTGAGCTGAAATTTTCTTCTTTCTTCCAAGAAAAGGGTATTGTATCGTATCACTCTTGTCCTGAGACTCCAGAACAGAATTCTGTAGTAGAGCGTAAACACCAGCATCTATTGAACGTCGCTCGTGCCTTCATGTTTCAGTCTCAACTTCCTCTTGTTTATTGGGGAGACAGTGTCTTAACTGCAGTATTTGTTATCAATCGTACTCCATCTCCTCTGATTGGTAATAAGACTCCATTTGAGATATTGACTGGCAAGGTTCCAGCTTATGATCAGATAAGAACGTTTGGATGCTTGTGTTACGGGTCTACTTCACCTAAAGGAAGACACAAGTTCCACCCGAGATCCAAGGCTTGTATTCTTCTGGGTTATCCGTCTGGTGTCAAAGGTTACAAGCTGTTAGACTTGGAAACAAACCAGATTACAGTTTCAAGGAATGTCATCTTTCATGAGGATATTTTTCCTCTGGCTTCTGCGCATACCTCTGATGATAGCTTGAAACTCTTCACACCATCCTCTACTTTGCCCTCAGGTACAAATCATTCACATTTTACACCAGAAATTTCTCCATCTCCTTCTCTTCCACCACAAATTTCTTCTCGCCCACGCAAACAACCTGCACATCTGCAGGATTATCATTGTTACAATCTAAACTCACAGATCACTTATCCCATTTCATCAACCCTTTCATATTCAAAACTCTCTTCTTCCTATTTATCTTATATCAACAACATCACCAAAATCCCAATCCCTCAATCTTATTCTGAGGCAAAGGACTCTAAAGAATGGTGTGAAGCAGTTGATAAGGAATTTGGAGCAATGGAGTCAACGGGTACATGGGAGTTGTCTACTTTACCGGCTGGGAAGAAAGCAGTTGGGTGTAAAGTATTATATTCTTTGAAGTTTCATGCTGATGGCACTCTTGAGAGACGAAAGGTTCGAGTTGTTGCTAAAGGATTTACTCAAAAGGAAGGCTTAGATTACACTGAGACCTTCTCTCCTGTAGCTAAACTCACGACAGTCCGTTTCTTGTTGAAAGTTGCAGCCTCCAGAAATTGGTTTCTCCATCAATTGGACATCTCTAATGCATTTTTGAATGGAGATTTAAATGAAGAAATCTATATGAAGATTCCTGATGGATATGCAGAGAGGAAAGGTATTACATTGGCTAAATCTGATGTTTTTCGCTTGAAGAAATCCATTTATGGTTTAAAACAAGCTTCCCGCCAGTGGTTTCTCAAGTTCTCTGCTGCATTGTCACGTTTGGGTTTTGCAACGGGTACAAGTGATCATACTCTCTTCCTAAAATCATTTTCTGATGGTCATTTCCTTGCTGTGTTGGTTTATGTGGACGACATTATTGTGGCTGGTACAAGTGCTTCACACTCTAGACAGTTGATCCATGATCTTTCTCAACAATTCAAACTCAGAGATCTTGGTAACCTCAAGTATTTTTTGGGTTTGGAGATTGCTCGTACAAGGAAAGGGATCTCTCTGTGTCAACGCAAATATGCTTTAGAGATCTTGACTTCTACTGGCATGTTAGGATGCAAACCTACTTCGACACCCATGGTACCAAACTTGCATCTCACTTTGAAAGATGGTGAATTGATCACTGAACCTGAGCGTTACAGAAGTCTTGTTGGGCGGTTGATGTATCTGACCATTACTCGTCCGGACATCACCTTTGCTGTCAACAAACTGTGCCAGTTCTCTTCTGCACCGAGGTTTCCTCATCTCCATGCTGCCTATCGGGTCTTACAATACATTAAAGGCACTGTAGGACAAGGTCTCTTTTACTCTGCATCTCCTGATCTTACCTTAAAAGGGTTTGCAGATGCTGATTGGTCATCTTGTCGAGATAGCAGGAGATCTACAACAGGCCTTTCAATGTTCCTTGGTGATTCATTGATATCTTGGCGTTCTAAGAAACAGGATACTGTGTCTTGCTCCTCTGCTGAAGCCGAGTACCGGGCTTTGAATAGTGCTTCTAAGGAGATGATTTGGCTCATCAAATTGATGAATGATCTGCAGGTTCCTCGACCTCAGACTCCTATACTCTTCTCTGACAGTACTGCTGCTATCTATATTGCCACAAATCCTGTCTTTCACGAACGAACTAAGCATATCGAGAATGATTGTCATTTCGTGCGGCAATGGCTTGATAGGAAGGTCTTGAAGAGTCTCCATGTGCGTACAGCTGATCAGGTTGCAGACATTATGACCAAACCGTTGTTTCCTCATCAATTTTATCATCTTATGTCCAAGATGAGTCTTCATAACATTTTTGGAAGCTCATCTTGAGGGGGCCTATTGGTTTATGTATACCGGTTTAGTGGTTTGGTTAGATTAGCTGGTTTATTCTTAACTGTAAAGTCTAACTATATATACATGTAAATGGCTCACTTTATTAAATAAGAGATATTTTGATATTATCCTCCTTCTTCTCTCCCAAGGAAGCTTTACGTAATATCATGTAAGACCCATGATCAAATAACTTGATGTAACCTGCAGGAAACTCTCTGCTATACCAAACCTTTTAAGTAACTGAAACCTGACACTGAAAGCATGAAAAACAGGTATTGAAGTTGGCTAAGCATTTCAAAGGCTTAGAGAATCGTGTCTTTGCAAAAATTGATGCATTTGTGAATGAGCATGCCAAGCTGCAGGTGAATCACATCTTACATGCAACCAATACAGGCGAATAGCTAATCTTATTGATGTTTTTGATGACAGGTTGATGATTTTCCAACCATCTTGCTCTACAAATCTGGTGAAAAGGAAAAACCGGTAATAACCTTTTTGATAGAGCTCAACTTTTCAACTTTGTTACAATTTTCGTTTTCTTACCAAGTTTTTATCTTAACAGTTAAAGCTATCGATTAAATTGAGCGCAAAGGACATGGCTGTTTTTAGCAACGAAGAGTTGAAACCAAAGGATGGTTCTGCTAGAGATGAATTGTAGTCAAGTTCCAGCAATGTAGACATCAGAAGAGACAGAGAAATATCATAGATGAGAGTTTTGTGACATTACATGATTTTAATCCTTAGAATCTGTGAATCAATGAACTGAAATTAACTTTATAGTGTATTGTAACCCTCAGCAACAAACTTGATTTAGCATTCACACCCTGTTGATCTTTGTTGCTGACCTCTTGCAACATCAATGGTGTCAGGCATGTACCTGCGCAATCATTCACAGGACACGATGGAGATAAAGGCTACAACAACAACATGAAAGTTATGTAACTTAGACAGACTTGTTTTACTTACGGCTCTTCTTCAGGTTCATTCTTAAAGGCATTCTTGGTGATGCATTCGAAAGCAGCATCGACATTGAATCCTTCTTTAGCTGATGTCTCAAAGTAAGGAATGTTTCCTTTAGACGCACACCATGCCTTTGCTTTCTTCTCGGAGACCTGAAAATTATATGTAAGATGACTTTAGCATATAACCAAACTTTAGTTACTTGACATGGGATAAAGAAGTCTAACCACTCGGCTCTTGCCACCGTCAACATCAGTCTTGTTCCCCAACAAGACAAAAGGGAAGTTCTCAGGGTCTGATGGACTAGCCTAAACAGTGTCAACAATGAAGAAGACGATGTAACAATTTGAATTACAATAATAGCAATAAAATAGTATCCAAAGTGGAGTTGGGGGTTAAACCTGAATCAAGAACTCTTCCCTCCAGTTATTAAGATTCTCGAAAGACTTCATAACATTGACATCGTTAACAAGAACACAACAATCAGCTCCTCTGTAGAAAGCTACTCCCAAACTCTGGAACCTTTCTTGCCCAGCAGTATCCCAAATCTGTTATTATGGATTTAATACATGTTTCCATATCTCAGGACCAGTCATATGTTTTGTACAACAAGTAATATCATTATAGACAAGAAAACATTGTATTTTCCAAAGAAACACACAGTAGGACTAGGAGAATCAAATTGTCACTCAAAAAAGCAAGATCCAATAAGAATATTCCAAGAAGAATCATAAATGTATATACGAAAGCAATAATAATATTCAATTATACCTGTAAAGTGAAGATCCTGTCATCGATTTGAACCTCTTTGGTCAAGAAATCAGCTCCTATGGTAGCTTTATACTGATTACTAAACTTGCGATTCACAAACCTAACCATACCATTCAATTAACCAAAAATCGAATTTCATATTACAAAACAAATCATTAAAAATACGGTTATAGATCTGTGATTGGTTTTTAGCAACGTACTGATTCATCAAAGACGTCTTGCCAACCCTGAACAATAAATAAAAAATAAGGAAGATAAAAATCTTTTATTAATGGACAAACAAATCATAAAAAAGGAATCAAGGAAATGAGAAACGTACCCGCTATCACCGAGGATGATAACCTTAAGAAGAACTCTCCGGCGAGAAGACATTGACGGAAATTTTTTTTTGAGATGAGATATTTCAGGCGAAGAAAGTGTCGTCTCTGTTCTTCGTGTGATTGATTCAGACAAAGAAGAAACGACACAAGTATCTTCGCTAAATAACAGCAAGGAAGGAAAAAAAAAGGCTACTATTTTAAAAATCTCTTAATTTCCGAAAATGCCCCTATCTCGATTATTCATCTATATTAGTATAAAGAAAAATTAATTAAGCAATTATATGAAAAAAAAATGACTAAAATAACACTAAAAAAGTTTTTGTTACAAATATAGTATTTAAGAAAAAAAATAATCAAAATAGCAATTAATATTTTATCAAAAAAGATAAATATACACCTATATCTCAAAGATAAATTAATTTAGACATTAGAGCACCCTCATCAAGGGTTCAGATGGGGGTTCACACGGTTTTCAAAAAAAAAAAAATATTAAAATAAGGAATAGTGATGAACCTGCCTCTTGCAGACTCTCTGCGGTGAATCCGGTTCATCACTGTAGCGCGGGTCCCGGGACACGTGGCGACCCGCGGTTGATCAATTTTTTTTTTTTTTTTTTAAAAAAAAT